GATTAATGGGATTAGTTGTTTGAGTTATGAAATGAATGGTGGTTTAGAGTTTATGTGAAACTTTTTGGAGTGTGTGAAGGTCATTTGCAATGTCGTTAGATACATTATGTATTATGAGTACTTATTTTATGAATCAAGCTTAACATTTCCATTTTTATTAGCCTAGAAATAACTGAAGGACTTTGAGTTCAGCTGTCGTGTTTATAACTAGTAAGACAGTTGAAAGTAAATTCTAAACATGTCCTGAAACTTGGAGTTCAGCCAGAGATAACACCAACTTACTTCGTTCAAGTATACCTTTTAAACTCATTTACATTCATATTCGTTATCGTCATTTTGCGATCAGTGCCCGCTTGGGGGACAAGGATGGATGTATACAAAACACTGTAAGCAAGAAAGGGACGCAAAAGTTATCTGTAGGAAGTACAGGCTGTTATCATTTTTATGTACCGCTTAATGTCGCAGTGTTATTCCTGCGCTGATAGTGTAATTTGCTTCGGGATTCTTTCTGCTTTAGAAAAAAGATCCCCCTGTATGTTTTTATGGTATTTTTATAAGTAAATTGTCTATTAGCATTCTATTTTACATTGCTACTTGGTTTTTCCATATTATCTTGATACAATGTACTAGGCAGATAGGTATATATATACTAAGTAAAAGTCGCTGCTCAGTTCATAGCACATTTTTTGTTCTGATTTCAAGCGCCCTAACCCTCGTTGTTTAGCAATGTATTCACCCTTATTACAATTTAATTAATATGTATGGTATATACATTCCATTTGGGCTATCTCCTTTGGGATTTTCATACGTGATATGGTATTAATGAATACAATAAAAATTTTAGACTGACCGCCTTGGTGCTTCAGCGGCCGCTAGAGCACATAGTCCGTCAAGTTGCGTTTTTTGTAATATCTTAGTAATACGGTAGTTTCTAACTATTCAAACTCCATACTTGTACTTTACTTGTGATAATAGGAATATGCTCAGCAGTGGGCACTTACAAGCTTTTTTTAGTAAGGAGAAATGATCAAATGACTACTCTCCCAGGGTGAGGCGAGAGAGATTGTCAGACTCTTACTGATTAAAAACCCCAGTTCCCTCTCCTGCTCTAGACTGAGGCCGAGGTACCTTATTGTGCTTGCCTCGCAACACCAGCTGAACACCAGCCCTGTTGGAATCTGTCTGTGATATATATAGGCTAATGATGTGATAGAAGATTCTGAAATACTGGTGTAGTTTCTGTAGTTTCTGAAATACTGGTGTAGTTGGTAATGCATTGTTTAAGTATTATCCAATTGAATAATAATGTCGGGTTTTCCTGGAACTAAACGAAAATTTAATATAGATTTTCCAGTAAGCTAATTTGATTGTAATATTACCAAACAAATTCATGATTTGAATAAGGTTATAACCAATCACAATTGTGCACTCCGAGACGTTTTAAATCATATCACCAATAATATTGTGATCAACTAAAATTATTTTTTCATTAACCAAGGCATAGAAGCATTAGTCCTAAAAAAAGCCACCCATTTCCTTTTCTTTTATCATTATATGACTTCTCCTGCTCCAGCCGTTTACGTTGTGTACAACATACTAAAAATTTTGGGGTGTTCCGCTTAAAGCTGAAGGCTCGAACGAAGTGTCCAAATTGTATCTATATTCAAGCTTTTTTGTGGCAGTGAAAATTATCAAATATCTTCTACCGGGGGATTTTCAGACTCTTATTGTTTAAAAACCACTCCGTACCTTCTCCTGCTCCAAGCTGAGTAATGATGAATCACAGCTTGTCCAGCCGATTTAATCATTGGTTTACATGTATATAATATATTAATCAAAACCGCTACAATGTTTTTATAAATCAAATCCCGAAACAAAATAATTTCCGTTAAACAAGAAACTAATATCCTCACGTCATGTTCTAAAATATCATAAACATGATTTTCCGAACGGTTTTCTTTGACTAATGTAGTACAACGGGTACATTAGCGGATACTAGGTATATCATAGTCATAAACATTCACGATATACGGCAGGTCTAAACGCCCACACTAAAATGTTATAGGGTTGTCAAAACATACCTATGATGAGAATATTCAATTGACCTGCAAGGCGTGGCGCGTAAAATTGCTAATTTTTATCCAATACTTTTTTTATGTGATAGCATCTGTCTACAAACAGCATGAACAAGTATCATATTGGCAAACGAGCTGGCGGATTACGTGGTGGTAAGCAATCAGCACTGCCCTCTGTTGTTGGTCACCCGCAACAACAGAAAAGTTGAAAAAAATCATTATCAACAAAAATTTTAAACAAATAGAATTGGCAAAACTGCTCCAGGCGTAGTTCAGTTATGCACTTGTTAACATAGTTTCCGTTTTATTATTTAGGATTATAGATTATTTTATTTTGAATTGAATAATGATATTAGAAGGTGACTACATAGACAGAGCTGTTATTTTCATAACCTTTTTAACTGATTTAAATTCAAATATAAAAATAGAAAAACAAAAACCATCTATCATTAACAAAAAAAAATCTCGCACGAAACTCAGCGCGCGGTTAATTTGAACGAAACAAAGGTGGCAACCCCAAACATATCCGGTGATGGCAACCCTAAAACCGGACAATAAATAATATTTCTCATTACACCCGGATGGGATTTACGATAAAACTCTGGTAATCACACAAATGCCTGAATGTTGGGAGCTCGTTTATTTTTAATAGTAATGTTGGATCAGAGTATAGTTATTCTCAAGATAGTCAAGTAGTTCAGAAGAGCTTCATGGTACTGAAAAAAACAAACCTTTTTTTGTTAGCGTTCGGTATGTACATGTATACCTTTAATAGTATGTTGCACATAACCATGCTCCTAATATGTATAAGTTCTATTTTGTTTTTTTATCACTAGTTTTAGGGGCTTTTGCTGTAAAACATGTCAGCCCCGTTACGACTCTTTTACTTACATCCACAATATTAAAGTCTCAGTGTGTGTATAAGTTCTATGAAATAACGTGAATTGAAATTTTCACGATATTTTTAATTTAAGATTATGATTCAAGTACATATTTTGTTATAGTGAGGTTTTGTTAAGAAATAGCTTAAAACCGATGTTCTATCAAAGCTTTAAAATATTGGCATAATACGCCACGAAAATCATAAAAACACTTCTCAAGATGGCCGCCTTACTCGTGGAATAATCGGTGACACAAAATTTACACGAGTCAAAATTTTGTTTTAATTACTTATTTTTCAATCATGGCCGTTTTCCTGTTTTGGTGATCAATTCTCTTTGTAAAAATCCTTTCATAATTTAAATATCTCGCAAAGCAAAAACAAACTTAAAGAACTTGGTGAAAGCTTTACTGATAAATAGGAAGTAAAGAAAAAAAATGTCTTTTAAATATGACAACACTGAAGTACCTAATAAATTTACAATTTATACTATTGTTGTTTTTCTTAATTATTATTAATTTATTCTTCATGGTACACCAAATTACGAATCATAAAACTGTTTAAAAAAAGGCAGACCTAATGCTATGTATCATTCTTTCGCAGTCAACCTTATAAGGGTTCAAAAAAAAAATTGTTCGGTTATTTCTCTAAAAATCTTATAATTATGACTTTAATCTCTAAAAAAGTGCAAATCATTCCTTAATTTTACAATATTGTGATCATTTATTGTCTTTTTAAAAATAAAAAACAAAATAAACGTAACTCAATTACCAAATCAAGATGACCAATAAAAAAATGTTCCCAACACTAAACCTTCTATCAAAATAATTTCATCAAACGCTACCTTACACGCATGGCGACGCGAGTCACATGTTTGTTCCTCGGCTGTCAAGAAGAGAAATTACTTATGTCATTCACGACATCTGACGTGCAACACATGAAAGGGCAAAGGTATTTATTTAGACAGCCTTCTGTTTTCGGCAGTTGAAACAATTCACTTTGATGTACCACCAAGCGTTACTGATAGGGTTGATAGATCTGTTATGTACGAATTTATTTTGGGATTGAAATAAAACAATTGATGTGTAAAATTATTGGGGCTACTATTTTTTTACTAGTCTGAAGATATATACCTATACCAACTGTACCTGTACTTCATTGTCTATTTGTGAGTAACCCGCGATTTTTAGTTAATTTATTAGATACTCGTATATGTAATGACATACGTATTTAAGACAGTGAATAGCTTTTAAATTTTACTCTACTGAGTAACGATTTACAATCCAATAGTTTACAACTAGACAAATTCTTTACTTTTATTGAAATGTTTTTACTATGATTTTTTTACAAGTTCTTATGACGTCATAATTTTTTAGTTAAATTAGCAAGTATTTCTGATTCAAATTAGCTACAATATATGTAAATTGTGTGCATTTTCAAATTGGTGTTTAAAAGTATTATATGTGTGGTGTGTGTATGTATTTTTGACCAAGGAAATCCAAGTTCATCATATAAATCTATGCTAATTAATAAAAAATCTCGTGAAAGCTTTGAAATAACGCGAAAAGTTCAATAAAATGACATCTAGCGGACAAAACCGTAACTGCTAGCTCGACTCTCCTGAAAACCGTTTGAATTCACCCCTGAATGAAAGCGTCATGAACCATCTACCGGCGGCCGGGGGAACCCGAATGTTCCCGACAAACCGACTGGCTACCCCTCCCTCGCTACACCCCCCAAAAAGCCTATCGATCGTTGTCCCTGCAGCCACAATTTACGCCAACAGTGCACAGCAGACAATCTGCTACCAAAATTATCTACAAAATCTAAATCTGGCCTAAAATAAGTATTTAATACCTCGATAGTAACATCCCCAGGTGAGTGAGTGTTTGTTTTTGTAGTCGTTTATCACGAGCACTGTCGTCGTCATACCATTTACAGTGACGTAGGTCCAGTCCAATTATTTTTTTGTTATTGTGCGAATTTTTATCTTCAAATATCTTTTCTCCTAAGATTTGTTATATCGAACTAAAATAACGTTAACTATGTTGTTTTTGTGGCTAGTCGAAGATGATTATTCGGTAAATTAGGTCAGTTTATAAAACTGTACGTCAATGGAAGATTTTTCTCGAAATAGGTCGTTGGTCACGTCATCTGATAGGGTGCAACTTGATCAATATAATGTAGTGTTCGCGGAAAACTCTATCCCAACCCTTGTTTAGTGAATTACTAACGATTGTGACATTAAAATACAGGTGAAATTTTATTCCTCGACATTATTACGCCGAATTGTGTCGTGAAATCTTTTTACGATGTTTTCCGATGTTCACCATTACAACGCAACAGATTTCATTGCGTAGTTTTATAGTTTTTACATTTCTTACGATTGTGTTTTGGCTGTTCACGGAAGAAATAAAATGTGATAGTACTTTTCTCACCAACAAATTCATTTAAAAATACAAACAATGTACATTTATATGCAGTATATGAACAGATGAAATTCAACATTTTAGTCCAGTTATCTGATATATTTTTTCTATGAATTCCAGGACGCTGCCGTAGAAAAACCGACAGAAGAAACAGTAGTTCAAATACAGAACGACGTCCACTCGCCGCCTGACCACGACCTGTTCATCGATGCTGCTGATGATGGCTCGGGCCTAGACACAGACGAGAGTTCGGGTTCCGGTTGGGGAGCCGGCCCCGGCCCTGACGACGAAGACGGACGGGGATCAGGTGACGAGCCCAACGGACCTCCTGATGACGAAGACTATGGATCCACCACCATTGGCAGTGAAGAGACAGAACGCACCATTATCGAAACTCCCATTACGCCCGATAACTCGGAGCCAGACGACATTGACATTCCCGAACAGACGGAGCCTCCTGTCGTAACCAAAGTGAACATCCCGCTCCAATTACCAACAGATCCCAGGAATATCGATGTGCTCATTCGTGAGTAGTGGCTGAAGCATGCCAGTTTTTATTTTGCGTTGTTTTATTTTTTGTTTTCGTACGAGAAATTGTTACTTGAAGAAGTTAATAGTTAATTTACATTTTAAATTCAGTAAACCCAACTGCTGGAGCAGAAGGCATCATGATTTAATATATTGTAACAGTAGTAACGATTTCTCATACCAACTGTATACATAGATGTAATTTATACGCCCATCCTTATTATAGCATTATGGCAAGACATTTAGCAAAATAACCACAAATTGGTAATTTACACTAATAATTACATTAACCTAACGAGGTTCATGATTATAAGCAGATTCATCACTTCGCAATAACTAACGTAACCTTGAATTAACAGTTTTATTGTTATCTGCAGTTATTTCTAATTGTTTAAACCACACGCCAGTTACTAGTGGGACGGACTGACTGTCGTACGCGCGTGCAATTTGACGTGTTTAAATATCTATTAATAATAATTATTAATTCATTCATAATATATGTCAACCGTTTTATAACCGTCCGAGGATTTTGGTAAGTTTTTCGTAGTATATTTTTATAAATTTTATGGGATATAAATTCCTTATTTTTTTCTTAATTATCGCATGACTTCGTTACTCTCATGCAGCCATTAGAACCCATTTCTAGTGTTCCTTTTTCATAGTTCTAGTTAGCATGTCCAAGGTAATATAGCCCTGAAAGTATCCGTATTTCATCTCATGGAACCATTAGCTTAGCAATATTGTCCATATTATCATTGGTATTTTTGATGTTTTATTAGAAGTTTACTTTTAATTCTACCTTTGCTTTTGTTCATGCTGTATCATGTATTCCTTTACCCCCTTTTTCGATATTGTTCCTGTATTTCGCTTTTTGTATAAGCGATGTTATTCATGTCCAATTTAATCCAAATCCCTTTCAAATATTGAGATTTTAGTTTCTTCAAAATTGATCTGTCCTCTCGTTTCTGTCTCTTGCTCCTATGGTGTCCTCCATGTTATAAATCCTCCGGATTAACTATGGTGTTGGTTTGGGTTTGAATAGAAACACTAACATAATTAACCGTCTTATAGTCTTCGTCATTTCTATTACGTATATCTAATTAATCATTCCGTCGTATGAATAGTTCAATGTGTATATTATTACCATCGTATTCAAATATTATTACAACAGTACGATCTAAACATTCGTTCACTTGCCCAATATTTACAAGCGATGTAACAGCAACAAATCCTTTCACAAAAATTAGAGAGCGTTACTATAAATAATAAAACAAAACTTTACGCATTATTCTAATACATTGAGCTACAAAACTATGAATAAATATTCCGTGGATTAATATGACGACGAATACGAGGAAAATTCCAATCAATTGATTGTTCAGTGAACTTATTATTGTTATTGGTGTATTTCAGCTAATACAAGGAACAAGCCAGGCGAAGGCACCTCGGAGGAGGGTAGAGGCGCGGGGGAGGAGCAACCCTCGCGCCCGGATCAGACAGACATCAGCATCTCTGGCGAGGACCTCGTGCCTTCAGTCGTACGTATAGTTTTATAATAACATTTTCTAATTGTAAGAATAGAACAATAGAACACGGGTGTAATACTATTATGCGTATTTTCTCAAAGTTATATAAACAGGATGAGCTCGTTCCGCGTGCAGGCAGTGGTGTTGATGAACGGATAAAGTAGGTAAAATTGTAATAGTAAGTTATTGTGGATTGTTAGTGGATGACCATTATGATTATGATTATTTTATAAAGCTGAAGAGTTTGTTTGTTTGAACGCACTTGTCTCAGGAACTACTAGTTCGAATTAAAAAATACCTTTTGTGTTTAATAGACCATTTATTGAGGAAGGCTTTGGACATATGAAACATCACGCTACGATTTGTAGCAGCCGAGCGGGTGAATTTATATTTTTAATACATCGTGACTTAAAGAGTGTATGTACACAAAGCCTGAGTGTAACCAAAACGATAACGCTAAAACATTCATTCAAGTGGATCTGATTCAGTGCTTAACAAGTTAGAGTGAAGACCAGTGCCACCATATCAACAATTAACAAGTCGCCTCGGTTTTGCACGGGTGCAACAAAGATACTAAATTTGTCCACTATTATATTACCTAATGAATGTTATTATAGATATAAAACTTCCTCTTCAATCACTCAATCTATTAAAAACCCGTATCAAAATCCGTTGCGTGGTATTAAAGATCTATGTAGGTATAGCTTACATAGGGATATAGGGACAAAGAAAGCGCCTTTGTTTCATACTCTTTATCAACAATGTATTTTCCAGAATTAAGCTGGTTCTAGTGAAAATCTCCTTTTAAAAATAATAAGTTTTTATTACTATATTTTGTGTTTAACAAGTCAATAAAACTTTGTGTAAGCAATTGAAATTAGGATTGTAACAAAAAACGTTTTAGTATGCGATATAAATCCCGGTTTTGCCATAGTCCGGAACTGTCTTCGATATCGCGAATGTCATACGATGACCTGATTAAAGTTTGGGAAGTATAGGATAGTGGAACTCATGATAATGGTTATATGTCCGCACTGTGTCAGTTTGTGGATTGTCAGCCATTTTTTATCTAATTGAGAACTGAGCGAAAAAAGCTTAAACACTCATGGCATATAAATATAAAGGCCATCTTTATTTTTATAATTAGATACGTTCACAGGAATCATCTTTAAATTGTAAAAAAAGTCATAAGAAAGAATGCATCTGTGTTAAAATTCAATTTCAATGTCTTTATAAATTTAAGTTTTAGTTTGCCTTGACTTCCACTCATCCCAAACGCTTAAATCTGCGTATTTGCATACGCAGTTTGCTTCAACGATTGGTTAAAATTAAGCTATTATTTTTATGTTTGGTAGTCCTTTTGTCTAAAGTCTAAACATCACGCTATGATCCGTAAGAGGTGAGTAGCGAGTGAAACCGCGCAAGGGTAGCTAGTATAGAGATAAAGTTTAAAAAGAAATACTGAGTTACCTTTGTTCTACTAATCCAGCACACATCGCCGTACAAAACACAGCTTAGCTTCGTATCTAAAATAAGACTCGATAGTACTACTGTTTTGTCGTGAAAATAGTTCTGAAAATAGCTGATGAAAATTAAATATGTCGAGGTTGTACACTAGTTGAGAAATAAATATACATTCTCCGCACTATCTGAAACGGTCGAATGATTATTTTGACATTCGCTGTCTGTGTGGTTGGAAGAAATTCTGGAATATTCTGAACACACCTGTGCTGGGATATTGTTCTCGAAGCTTCTCTGATTGTGGTGACTTACCTTTTCTTAAGAAAACTACTAATTTTATAAAAGATTGCTCAAGCTAAAAGGATATTTGTGTGATTGTTTTGATCGCGAAAAATTGGCTAGCAATGCTTTCTAATAATATTATAGGTTACAATGTTTGTTGTTGTTTTTCTTGACTTGCTGTTTTAAACTGCAATGAAAACTTTAGTGAATTAGTTTACGCGTCTAAAACCAAATATTGAATATTGTAATAATAACGGGCTTATTAAAGATGGTAGCTTTTACTCAGACAAGAAAGACTTAGAAATTTTGTCACCAATATTTAACAATTAGAACGCCGTGTCGGACAACGGTGTCCGACGCTAGCAGAGGGTTAGCCTTCAACAGTTTTTGTCGGCAGTCAAATGCTTAATATACCTATTTTTTTTTTATTGAGAATGGGCTTTTGTCTTCTATCTTGCCTTTTTTATGTGATAGGTCGGCAAACGAGCAAACGATTTACCTGATGGTAAGCAATCCGTGTCGCCCATGGACAACCGCAACGACGGAGGAGTTAAGAGTGCATTGTCGACCTTTTGGGGACTTGGAGGGGATTTGGAGATTTTTGAAAAGGGAACGGATTGGGCCTCCGGTAACCTCACTCACACGGCGAAACACAACTCTTTAGTTATTTCGCGCCGGTTTTCTGTGAGGCCGTGGTGGATTCCGGTCGAACCGACGCGTTTGTACAGGGATCTCCCACACTTAAAAGCGCCTATTGATAAGCGATGATGAGCCCTACGATGAAACAATCCTATCCATGAGGAACCTATATCACTCGCGTCTAGTCGACAACTAGTCGACACCTAGTCTCCCTTCGTGATACTTGGACTCCGGCAAAGAATTCCACTTCCTCAATTTCCATACTAGATTGCCCTAACACCTAAACGTGGACAAATTTCCCTTCCAAATCGTATAAAGCAGTGCTCTAACGTTCCAGGACCAGGAGCCGTCAGGCAGCAACGTAAACCAGGAATCAAGGGCGCCGGACAAAGTCGTCATCATGAACGCCAAGCCCGAGGACCGCGCTACCAGCTTCTTCGCTCAGCCTGGCATCCTCGCCGGTATGTATAGAATGTATACAATACTTATATTTTATACAAATACAGTATTATAGCCAAAGGGATATTATTACAAGTTCATACATACTGTAATGCGAAAAGACGTTTCCCCAACCTAATACAAAAAAAAAAAATATTCTACCTCTATTATTGTGTGTGTGGTAAAAGTCCATTACACCCATATCCGGAACTCAATACGATTTGCAGATGACACAACTATTGTTCATCTTGTTACATCTTTGGTGACACATTACCTTCGTATAAGTATTTCCGTAATAATCAATACCAGTGTATATAGAAATGGTCAATACTAGTGTATTGACCATTTCTAATTACCATTTCCATTAATTCCTTTTATTTTTAAGACCTTATTTTGTCCTTTAACTTGTCCATCGAAAATATAATTCAGCACTCAACCAGGGGAGAACTTTGAAGTAGACTTTACCTAGAAACTATTAAGTATATATTTGTACTTACTGTACGTAAGAAGAGAAAAAATCATAGGTAGACCAATGAATTATTTACTAGACCCATTTTACATAACATTCAGTAAATATTACGAAAGAAAATTAGTAAGGAAATGTTTGTTTATTTTGTTCTTCTAAATGAATACATTCATTGTTTACATAAACACTGATACCTACCTATTGGCTGTGTTTTGGTGGTGATGTGACCAGAGTCCTGCGTTTATTCATTTTATTTGTGTTATATATCTAATATTTTCTCTTCTCTTTTTCAGCCGTAATTGGCGGCGCAGTAGTAGGGTTACTATGCGCAATCCTGGTAGTGATGTTCATAGTGTATCGCATGCGCAAGAAGGACGAAGGTTCCTATGCGCTCGACGAGCCGAAGAGAAGCCCTGCAGCAGCATCGTACGGGAAGGGCCACAACAACCGCGAATTTTACGCGTGAGACGACACAGAGCAACCAACGCCACGTATTTACTAGTCGGCGGTCACGCCCTGACTGACCGGACAACCGACTTCAGACTAGCCATTCCATTTTTAAATTTTGACAGTTACACACCATACTACGCGAAATGCGCGGCATTATAAAAAAAAGTAAATTCAATTAGTTAATGAACGTGGCTAAAATTGTTCTGTGATTTATTTTAAAATTATATACGATCGATGAAATAATTTATTATTCTATAAATGTTTGACATGGATACAAATTTGTAATGTACGGATTGTACAGTGATGTACAAGCCTGGTACAAAAGATGCAGATTATTGTCACTACGAAGACAGTAAGATTAAAATTAAAATGTTATTAAATTATCATCTTTGAGACCAAGTTTTTTAATCATTTGTGTGATGATTTTAAATGGTGTTTATCAGAGGTTTTGGTGTATTGATGTCTCTATGAAAGACCAATGTGGTTCGTATGTTCTGAATGATCGACCTTGTATGTTTCCTGTAAAAAAAAAAAGAATTTTGTGCCATCCGCTTTCCTTCAACTGTATATTGCCAATTCTCTTCGCGCAGACGATATAGTCTCGATAAATAATCTGTGGACACGTCCATCAATTCGACTACTATGTGTAATATAATTATGTATGTGTGTATGTATTTAGATGGAACTCTCTATATAAAAAATAAGTAGATTTTGTAATATTTTGCTTCCAGTTTGTCATCGAATTTTTTATTTTTTTACTGAACAAATCTTATAAATCTATTTATGGACATTTGCTACAGATTATATCAATAATTTTGTAGAAGAAAAAAAAAACAGAATTTTCGATAACACACTTAACATTTGAGTTTACAATTCATTTTTATCATTTTAGTAAACTAATTTTTATTTAAGATTTATTTTGTTGTCACCTTGGGGGTTTAATTTTAGGAATTGACGTATCTCTATTATTTAGTTTGTTTTTTTAATATAGTTATAGTTGTTTTAATCTCATTTTATACGATTGTAATTTCTGGAATTAGGTTGTGCAACGATTTATTTAACTTCCTTGTGCCATCTTCAATTTCCCAATTCAATTCAATTCTATAGAAGATATTTTCGTCGACATTAATAAATTTGCGTGCTATACAAAATTGTTTATACCGCTAAATTAAATCAAAACATATACATACCCATTCTCATACCTTATATAGAAACATAATATATAACCAATTTTTGTCCATATACCGCCTTGCCAAAAGCCAAGTAGTCAAATAACCATTTTAATGGCTAAGCCTAGCTACGCATCGCAAAATATATTAATGTAGACGCAATTAAACGCCAGTGTTATTTAATTATTTTAACTTAAGTAACACGTTATGTCAATTAATTTATTTAATTAAATATAAAATTTGAAATCTGTAATTATCGAGATTTTTAATAGAAAACTAATAATTTCTTTAGTTCACGAATACCTATATTTAATTATTATTATTCTATATTAGTAGATGCGTTACTGGATATAAATGAGCCATTGAATGTATAAATATATGAAGAAAAATTACGAAATTTAACATTTCATTAGAAACTTAGTTATTGAGACAATCCTGTTATAGATTTTTCTAGAAACTAACAGTGACTGTTAGGTCGGCGATAAAAGTCATAAACAAACACATGCAACAGAGAAAAAATATCCGTATGACATCTGACATCCACCCTGATGTTGTAAGCCAAAAAAAGAGAGGAAATGTCAAAATCGCCGAAATACAACGATTCATCTTCAATGAACATCGGTGCTTCCAAAAAGGCTCTAACTAAATTTTTATATTAAAAAAAAAACAGTTTGTTTCTAGAAAAATCTTCGTATAAAATATCCAAATACATTCCTGTCGGATTGGTACATTTAAGATGTAGAGGGCAGAAGCCCTTTAGTGTAAGAAACTGTACATTATAATTGTAAATTCTTTTAGAAAGTAAAGAAACTGAGTAATTTATACGGTAATAGTTATTGTGTAACCAAATATAACTAGATTTTACTTTTTTACGTTTCAGTTGCAGCTAACTCAATAATAAAATTGGTTGCTTTAATTGCATAAAATAAATTATGTCACGCGTTAAACAAAATTGTGTTCTTATTGTAAAGCCAATGAGACATTAGCTAACAATAAAAAATAAGCTATATTCGTTTGTTTTCAAAGTTCACTTTTCAGTGACAGTATAGTTTATCAAAATTTCTTAAATGAATCTGTCATCGAAAGTCAACTTTATGCTATGGTGTTAAAGTTGGCTTTACATTGTCTCATTGACTTAACTGGGTAGGTAGGCTTGGTAGACAACGCACTATTCTATAAAAAACCATACAAGATTTTTGTTCTTATATAACTAGAGTCAAGACATCAAAATATGTCAAAATTCTCAAGTTTTTCTTGACATAAGCTAGGCTGCCCCTGAAAAGGTAGATTTTACTAGCAAATAGCTAAGATCTTAGTAAATCTACGTATTGCATATATGGAGTAAGAATAGATTTCACGAAAGATCTTTACTCAATCCTGTTTTTAGTGCATTGTCTACCAAAATGCGTTCAATTCAACAAATAAAATTTACCACAGATTAAAAAGATAGCCCTTAAATTGAAGATACCGAACTTTTTCAAAATGTCATTAATAAGATAGGTATTGTTTAAGAACATAATGTTAAAAAAACATCTACTTTGAATGATGTGTTGAACGCATTTGCCCTGTTTTCTTATCAAACTTACTTCGGTAAGTATATATTTTGCTTAAAATACATACGTTTTAGCTTAAGCCGTGTTTTGACATCGAAAACGTTGAAATGCAATTATTTTAATGTTATAACTTATAATATCGAATTTTATTTGTAATAACCACCTATAATATTAATTAATATATATTTAAATTTTTGAAATAATCCGAAAGCCGTTGGTTATATTTTATTTAATAATTAATAATTTCGTATGAGAATTATTAAGAAATAATTAATTATGTCGTAATGGTCATTTTTATAACGCCTAAGCAAATAAATATAGCAAAATGCTTTTACATATATTATCCGTATAAATAAAAGGTGCTGAATGTACACTGTAATCCTAAGCTTTTACGAAAATTATATTAATCGGGATGATTAAATTTATTTAGTTTTTTTTGCCGGGAAACATTAAAACGGCCACTCAATAATTTCAACTTCAATATAAACGACATTATTGTAAAACATATTCTGAATTCAAACTTGCCTATTTCTAACTCAAATGTCATCAACTGGCCATTAACAATCGCTAGTCTTAAAAGTTTTGTTCTAAAAAGTTTTGATGACGATTTTTTTTATAATTCTCCCTTTTGGTTTTAACAAAAATGAGGCTAAATAGCAGCTGTTTTATTTAAAATAATTCAATTTATAATTTCTTTTTTCGTTTGTTTTTTATTCTTATTATTAAAATCTCATGTTTTCATAACTTGTAAGGAGGTAGGCTAGGATAAGCGTATACATAATTATCGATGTCCACCTTGTAAATAATTCTCCTTTACACTTAGGTAAATATACAGGATATTATGAACAATAATGTGTTTTTATTTTTTGTCGTTAACTCTTTACTACCTTACTTTCCTGTGCCCAAAGTTCCTTGACAATAATTCACAGTTTTGCAGCTCTTAAATAAATTTTAAAGATTAAAGGATGATTTTACTTAGACTACTTTTTTCTTTGCTTAGATTCCTACTTACTGATGTAACCAGAGACTTTTTCACATTCCTGAAACGATTCTTTATGTGAAAACATATATATTGAAGACTGACTTAAGCAAACTTTAAAAAACTTCAGACTAAAGCGGAAACTCAAATAGTCTGTAAGAACAAAATTTCTTTCTTCTTCTTTCTTTCTTTCTTATTTTTTAGTTTTCTGAAGTGCTTATCTAAACATAATACCTAATTATATTTTTAACATCTACCAATAAATACTGGCACTAAACAATGTTTAAAAAATTAAGTGGTATTTATTCCACAGAAAACCAGTAAACAGCAGTTCATTCTATTACCCAAAAGATGTCGCTAGTCGACAGATTGAAGTAGCACTTGAACTGTACCAACCTACCTTTGCAGCTAAGAGTGTCGCTAGTGTGTTATCATACCAATCACTGCGTATCAACAACTATTAGTTCTATTTTTTTTCACCTGCATTATTAAGTTGGTCGCACTATGGTCCTTATTAGCCAACGCTTTTCTTTGGTTTCTTAAAACTAAGATCAGTTATACAATACGGTAGTTTCCAACTAGTCAAATTCAATACTTTTATCCTAATGTCAAAAACTATACTTTTCTATGTTGTATGAAAAACGTGAGTTATGACGTCATAGTATAAGGCATAGTTATTTTCAATATTTTATTGTACTGTAACGTCGAATTAATTTATTTTTGACCTGGAAAACTACCCACTTCTCCTAAAACGATAAGTAAAAAACTTTTTATATAACCTTTAATGCACTTTAAGCTAACTGAAATAGATTTTGGCATGGATTTCTAAATATTGAGATTTTATAGGTATGTGATCGATAAAAGGCAAGGCGATAGCTACTCTTAACTTCTTGTAAATACAGATAATAAAACAGCTTCTCCATCTTATGAAGCAAAGTAAATTTAAAACGTATGTAAATTTTTCTATACAAATTAATATTATATTTAATACACACAAAATACAAATCCAGCATTAAAAAATTAGCTATTCAAATTATTACTATCATCAAAAATATCTTTAAAACTATAGGTTAGGCTCAGAATACAGCTGTATTCTGAGAGGTTAGGTTACCTATCAAATGTCTTTTGCCATAAAAAAACAACAATATTCCTAACAAGGTAAAATATTATTCAAATATAAAAGTACAGAATAGCTTCAAGTATGTCAAAGTCTAATTACAACGGGAATTTGAATGAGTCATGCAATTGAAGGTTATTGGCGTTACGCTATCTACAGCGTACATATCGTTTGATAATTTCGTCTCACATTTCAGTG